GGCAACTCCTCCCTCCTCACCAACCCCCTCTCTCTACAGAAACGAACTGTGTTTTAAAGTGTTTAATGAATTCACTTTGAACGGCGGGCCGAAAAAACCAAATAACACACGAAGCCAAAAATAGCAACGGGGGCGTGCCAGAGCCAACAAGTCAATTTGTCAATTTTAAAACAAACTACAACAAAAACAAAAAAACCAAATAAATAAAACAAACAAGATTGTATTGTCGGGCATGCCTGACTAGTGGGTACCCCTTAACCAGCGCCAGGTTGACCTCAGAAACATTCTTGGTTCCTCTTACACAAACATATATAAAAAGACACGCAACCGGAGCGGTATGTCAAGCCTGTGGATACCCTATACTCTCACTAGTTGAACTTATAGCTAGCTTCCTCTTAAGCACGCACTGCGTTTGCTGAGATTTCTCTTAAACGTTAAGCTGCGAAGGAAATACTTTTAACCTTTAAATAGAGGCTACCAGACAGCGAAAGGTTTTGAGCCCTAGATATTAATATTATTTGGTGTATGTAACTCTTATTACTTTTGAGTTATGCTTAATTAACCAATTCTTAAAGTCTACTTATATCCTTATGATATACGTGCCTGTGTACTTCACATTTTAGGGCTCTAACTTTCGTAGATTTCGAGATGGACAAACAGTTGCACATGGCTAGATCCACTCAGCTCAAGAATATATATATATACAGCATCCCTCTGCCTTGCACAAATTCAATATACCCCATTTAGCCATTTCCAATGGTCTTACAGTAAATAAAAAAGCAGCCATCGACAGCGACCCGCTGTGAGAGCTGTGCACAACAATAACAACAGCGCAAATATGTGAGGTGTAAAAAAAAAATGTATATATGAGGGTGTGTGTGTGTGGAAAATGCTCGCTGAGCTTATGAATCTGTGTGCGTATTGCTGTGTGTGTGTGGGCTCACAATGTGCAATATTCAGCGTGCCAAAAGCCGCTCTCACAAACAACAATCAGGCAGCAGGCGGCAGGCAACGCGACATTCAGTCAGCCGTGCGGCATAGTCCTCGCCGTCGTCTACGGAGTTGCGTTCGAGTGGCGCTTCCGTCGAAAACAAAATCAAAGTTAAGCACTCAATTTTCAATTAAGCTCACAAAATGCACACGAACGCACCACTCACCCATACACGGACACACACACTCGCCAAAAACAGCACAAAGCTAAGGTGTGACGTCCTCATACAACCAACGCTGAGCTTCGAAAAATGTAAAAAAAAAAAAAGGAGAGAATGTGAAAATAAAATGGTTTGGTGTCAATGAAACACTCACGTAGTACCAGCCACAGCACCACCCCCCCGCAACACCCCCGCCCCTACAGCTCCTTAGGCTTGCCCTATCGAACGCGGATATATCAAGTTTGTGATGTCATTAGAGAGCACTTGATGTGATAAAAGCAATGGAAAAAGAGGAAGAGTGCAACAAAGATGAAGATAGCCAACTAAAGCTCGACTAGCAAACACCCTGCAGAAAGGGTTTACATTTCTTTTTGAGATGCCTTTGAATTAATTGACAAAAATAATTATAAATAGCCTTGCAAGATTTAGATCAACTTAAGCTGCAACTAGAAACTATATACCTTATAGATATATTATTAATGAAAGGAATAAGAATTACTAGACAAAAATACCTACCATTACTGATTCGAGTATTTATATACTCTATAGAGTCTAAGCAATACATCTGGAAACACTAAGAAAATAATACTGGAAAATATATTGGGAATATTTCTGCACATTTTTTTCTATTTTAGAATTCAACATACTGATATTTTGTCTCATCAATTTTAATGATCGCAACGCAGCAAAGGACATTTTGGAACAATGTCTTGAGCAGCCGCTGAAGTAAGCCGATTTAAGTTATATATATGTTTATTCAGATAATTCGCCCTTATCTAATATATTATATTGTATTAAAGAGCATTCAGATTTCGTGCTCCTGACTATGCCTCGGGTTAGGGTATCCCTTATTTCCTGGAAGGCAGTAATCAGCAGACACACACACACACACACACAACACACGCAGACATTTAAGCACACACACATATACAAAGACACTTACACACACACACACTCGCTGACAAAGGCGCTGCCCGAGCGCAACGCAGTCATTGAAATGCTCAAGGCTCACTTTGTATTAAATTCACTTTGCCTGTCACCTGCCAGTGCAGACCCTGCCTACCACCCCACCGCCCCGTCCCCCTTTTGCCCACTGGTCATCACCCTCTAGTCTTTTTAGTCCTGCTATCTGGCTGCTCGTCTAGTGACGGCCGAGTTACCTTTAGTGTCTGGGCATGGCCAATGCATGACACACGCACACACGCAGGGAGGACACAGGCACCCCCCTTCCCCTAACGCCCTTTACGGATATCTTTTGCCAGCTTTCTTTTTTCACTTTCGCTACCTTTCTCACACTCTATGTGAAGTAGCTTCTTGATTTCGTTCGTTATGCGGCTCGATGATGGTTCCGTTTGCTTTGCTGTAATCGTTACCGTGTGTGTGCAAGTTTGTGTGTGCTCGTATGTGTGTGTATGTGTGACTTTCCCTACGCACTCTGCAGGATACAAGGCGCTGGCTACCTCGTTCTGGGTTAAGTGGCAAGTCAGGCCTTCAATGTTATTTGTTTGACTTTCTAATTACGCGTGTCTGTGTGCGTGTGTGTTCGCGCGTGTAAGCGATTAGATTCAGAAGTAAAATGTTTAATGTTTAATCTGTGCTGCATGTTTGTCAGTTAACGTTAACCTGCTGAGAGCACAAAAACACAAATTGTTGCTTAGCAATCAGTGGGAAACGCCCACGCACACACACACACACACACACACGCACAGTGGCAGCAAAAAGTCAGACACCAAAACAAACGCAATCAACAACATCATCATCAGCGGCAAATGCGGCGTCAATAGTTCGGAGGCAGATACAGCTCAGAGATGTCTGCGATTATTCAAAATGGGTGGCAACGCTGCCAAGCACACACACACACACACACCCTCACACAACACACACGCACACGCACATATTTAAGTTGCCTTCAGGCAGACAGACAGGCGTCGTACACGAGGGCGTATACGCAATGCGCTTGTTTACAGTATTGGGTGTGCCACAGAAATAAAAAGGAACTAAGCAAACATTCCAGGAAAATTTAATTTATACTTATTTTCTATTTATTTTTCTCAAAAAAAAAAAAAAAAGGAAAAGGAAATAAAAAATAAATTTCACTCGCGGTCCAAGGTGTAACGCAGAGCAACAAACGCGCAACTAAACAAGTAGCTGGCATACATGCGGCATGCGGCATGCGGCAAGTGGCATGCAGCCTGTGTAAGGGGAGAGCGGCGCAACTTCCGCTTGTACATTTCATGCTTGCTGGCAACAATTTCATCCTGGCAATAAGTAGCCATTTTCAAGTTCTGCAATTGGCTGCCTGTAACTTAATACGAATTTCCACTTTTTATATATATATATGTATATGTATATACACATATACACACGCACACATATCTGTATCTATGGCTGACATCGGTGTTTAAGCTGTGTGTGGAAACATGCCCTTAGATATCCCTTAGATATTAATTGAAATCTTATCGTTTTGGGGCATTTTAGACATGAAGCGTAAACGTTTGCCGTAAGTAGCATCATTTATGGCTTAGGGAAACCGTTTGAGAAACGCAATTCGTGGAATTTGCCAATGAAAATATCTATTTCAACTGCGCAAGACATGAAAATCGCTTAAAAGAAGATTTACGTGAATGGGCGGTAACGGTATAAGTGCTAGATGAATAAAAAAAAGCATCTACTTATATATGTCAATCTACATATAGACAGATTCATCCCAGAACTTGACTGCCCTAAACACACACATTTATTATTACAACTGTTAATAAAAAAGAACAGAATAATACCGAAAACAGAAATATCCGTAAGCCTTACTTGAACAGCACAAAGAGAAGTTGACTGGGAAATGGAGAGAGGACTGCAGGAGTGCTCACATGTTGAGTGAAAGAAAGAAAGAGAGAGAGACTCGAGGGTTAAAATTGCCGTTATGGGGGTTGTGGTACGCCTGGCTAAAAACCCATTACGATCATGTCACTCATTTTTCCCGTTATCTTACAGCCTTCGCTTTGTTATTCATTTTTCTATGAAGTTCATTTGAAAGTTTTTTTCTGTTTATAACGCATTAAAATACATTCAATTTGTATGTATGTATGTCAATGTGTAAGTATATGCAAATAATATTGATTCAGGCCTTGCAAGGCGTCCAAGGGCCCTTTAAATGCCCTATATCCAATTTATCACTCATTAGCTACAATTTATCGCAGCCAACCGTCATTCTATAAGAATTTATATGTACATCATATGTATGTATGTATATTTTATAGTTGCTTATGTATGTACTGGAAAAACGTAACACACATGAAATGTGGCAATGCGCAATGCAATACGTATATGTATGTGTGTGGTTAGCACTCTCTTGCCTTGTGTGATATTGAAGACTAAAACATTTGTTAATTAATAAAGAACTCAATTGCACACTTTGATAATGATTAATAGTTGAGCATATTTACCGATCTCTACTTATATATGCACAAACTAACAACAACAATGGTGCAAAAAAACAAACACTTTATTTACAAATGTCGAATGCAAACTGCGCGAGGCGACTGATCTTCATTAACAGCGGCGACCCTCAAATTGAGTGAGAGCTTAAAAGCACTCAATTGGAAGAAAACAACACTCACATGTGCTGAGCGTGATGAAGGCTCTGGGATGGGTAAATACATACGTAATCAGCGCCAGCTGCAAGATGACGTATTCACAAATATACATACTTACATTTTTACACACGTATTTGTGGCACCCGGCGCTCACGCTCACGCTCGCACTCACACTCTCTCTCGCTGCTCGCTGTTCGCCCTTTCTCTTTTACTCGTGCGCCTTGGCTGTCGTTCTGTGGCTTTGCCGCTGCCGCCGTCAGTTGAAGTTCATGCGTCGCTGGCGACGAGCGCGTCTGCAACGGTGACAACAAAAGCGCCGTACAAAAAAAAAAACCCACGCCTCGCTAATGATCGCGACAACACGCAAACGCGTAAATCTAATAATATTGCAAAAGTATTCAATAAAAGTATATCGCCAAAGGCGATAATAAGCGTCAAGGAAAACACGGAGAAAAATATAATAACAATAACAAATACATGAAAAGGAACACAATTAAATAACTTACCAAAATAAAATAAAAAAAAAATATACAGCGAATTCACGCCGTGACAAATTTTACACTATAAATGAAAAGCTATTAAAATCGCATTTCCTGATAAAAAAAAAACACATACACACAGAAATAAAAACAATCATAATAATGGTACATTAAAAAACACGTCATTAACGGTGTAAGCACGCGGCGAAACTATACGAAGTACAGAAACAAAAACACAACATAAACAAAAGCAATGTAAATAACTGTGTAAATTGAACCAAAATCACGTGAGAGGTGCGAACTGAGCGGCGCAAACAACTCAATTTACATATTGCTTTTTATCTCTACTACTCGTTGCTCCAGCTGATAACGGCTTAATCGCCCGCTCGTTCATTTGCTCAAGAGAGCTGCACTGTAAGCTCTCTGCTTATGTTAAGCGCATTCTCTCACTCATGCGTTCTCGTTCAACCGGCTTCACGTGCTGCATGCAGCAGCCGGCTAAAGCGCAGCTTCTAAACACAAATCATAACAACAGCAGCAACAGCAACAACAACAACAGCAGCAAACTAGTTCGAAAAATATCGATAGAGCGGCTCATCAACAACAACAAAAACAGAGGCAAAACAAAAACAAAACCTGTTGAGAAGGTCAATGTACAGGCATAACGGCGCAATTGCAATGCAAAGCTGTTGTTGTTGTTTTTGCTTTAGTAATAACCCGCATTAATTAATGATTCAGTAATTCGTAGAAGCATATAAAAAATTGATTGCACACTTCAAATTTAAATCGTTTTATTTTTTAAAAGTAAATAAAACGCGCACAATGCCTAAATTTAGCTGAGACTCTAAAACAAAAGACGTCAATGCAAGACGACGCAAGAATCCCCCTAATGCAATGCCATAAATAAACTGTTTTAAATGGAAAGCGAATGAAAAGCGATTGGAAATGAAATCACAACAAGAGCAACTTAGTCAATTGCCCCCCATCACACACATACACACACACACACACACACCCGACAAATCGAAGGCAACATTTCGCTGTCAACAATAAATTCTTTTCAAATCAGTTTCCTACAACCAGGGGGAGGGGCAGGGAGGACTACCCAAAGTGTGCCAAGCGCACGTACATTTTATCAATACTCAGCGGGCATTAGCTGCTCAAAAGTATCTATATATACATACATATATCTGTAGAGATACGCTTACGTTTAGTCTGTTATATTTTATTGCGCTGACAGCTCATTAAAGAGTTCGGCGACAGCAATTTTCAAGAGTGTTTAAGCTTTTCCGCGCCTTTTCTTTATGTTTAATACACCCGTCTTCGTTTCAATTACCTATAGATCTTACAGTTCGTCTTATCAGCCGTTTATCTAATCTCGAACTTTTCGTTTATCACACGTAAAATTTCCTCAAAAGTCGCCCACTGATTGAAACTGATCGAATCGAGTGCTAATTGTTGCTCAGTAGCTGCCAGAATACGTTCCGAATCAGTGCTCTAGTAAGTGGTTCTCTGCTGTTTGACAAGTTAATCATAGCTCGTCGTCGGCAAGAAGGCAGCTCCATGGGAATTGTAGCGCTTATCGCAACCGAGTTCGAGTTCCAAGTACCCCAAGCGACACACACACACAAACACAGACACACACACACGCGCGCGCGTAATAAATGCGATAAATATGTATAAACATATAAAGCGACATAACTATTATGGTTGATTACACGAGAGCCAGAGGCTCATTAATTCTCCATTGTTGGCAAATAATTTTGGAAAATTCAAAATTATGGTCTATTTGTGCTCTTCATATTTTTGTGATTTAACTTAATAATTCTCATTTGATTTTCTTTAATTTTAAAAATAATTATTGGCCTCTCACAGCTTATTAAAATATACAGACCAATTTCTGTTTTAGCTTATATATATTGTTTTTTTTTTTTCATTTAGAGATTATAAATGCGATCAAAAGCTCAACACGTTTGTTATGTCTTTTAAGATTATTTCCTTTAAAAAAAAAAATCTTTAAGATCATGGCTTTTTAGGCAAACGGATTAAATAAATTCCTAAGAGCACAAAGCGTATGTTTTTTATATGTATACACTGCCCCCAATAGCGAATAGAGCATATTAGCTGCATGTATGTCGACTCACTAGAAAATATAATGGAGAATATATAACAGAGTCTACACATAAACTATGTAAAAAGTCTATTTATAGAGTCTATATATGGACTATATATGTATGTTGCCTATATACATATATATGGAGTACTTTGCGAATCCTTCAAAAATTTTCAGCTAAAACAACTCGAGAACTATTTGCAGCAGCTTTAATTTTTTTGATCTCTTAATACTTTCAACATATAACTTAATTAAAAATTTATTTTGTGGGCCCTTGTAATAAACAAAACTCCTATACGAGATTAATAAGAGTTGTTTAAAAGCTGGCAACAGAATATCTAGCAGTCGTCTTTGACTGCAAACATTTTGGCACATTCTCGAATAGAACTGAGAAACGGAAAAGCATTCATAAACAAAGTAATCACACTCCACATAAACAAAGTAAACTCAAAACAAAAAAAAACAAAAAACAAACAAATACGCACACATATAATCAAATGCACATACATTTACAGAGAACAACGTATATTTGAACAATTTACAGATACGATATATATATAAACACGCAGCCAAACACGCGACTCGCTGAAGCAGCCTATGCCGTTCGCCGGAGTACCCCTAATGACAATAATGATGTGCAGGATGACAATGTACTATAGCTGGAGGATGACAAGCGCCCACTAATTATGATAAATGCCACGTAGATAAGCGATCCGAAAGCACAAAGAACCAAAAGCTCAAATCAAATACACATACACGCACACCATAAACTCGAAGAAAACAGAAAAAAAAAAAAGAAAATGTCAAAATATCAAAAACTCGACAACGCGCTGGCACCCACAATGCACGATGATGATTACGATGAGAGTTTCTCACTTTACGCCGATGATAATCAACAGCAACAGCAGCTGCAACAGCTGCAGCACAATACTGACAGCAACCATTTAAGACTGAACAGCACTCATATGCCAAATGGTAATCCCAAATACCACAACAACAACAACAACAACAACAATAACAACAACAGCAACAACAACAACATGGATTCATTGAGAAGAGCAAGAGCTGATGCTTCGGAGCTGGAGGAGCACACCTGGGAGGTTCCACTGTTGCGCAGCGGCAGCAGCAATAATAGTCGCACCAATTTGGCAAGTGTTCAAAATAAGCTAATATATCTATTAACTTTCGCTTGGCAGAGAATTTGTAACTTTCAAATTACAGCTTAAATCTATTAACTATCGCCTGGCAGAGACATTGGCGATACTGTAGACAGATTATTGCCTATAGCTATATCTCCTAGAAACATACACTCCGTTTAAGTAAAATATTTAATGGTAGTGTAAATTTACCAATCTATATCCCCCTTCGCAAGCGAGCTTGTGGGCATATCCCTACTATTTGCATGTAATAAACAGCAAAAAAAAAAAAAAAACAGTTGTCACATCATTTTTATATATTATTGTAAGAGTAATTTATTGCCTATCGCTTTTCTACCTTCCAAGCGAAACACTTGCCTAAGCCCTAGAACTGTAGCGAGGCACATATAAAGACTATTTTAAGTGCAACTGTAATAATCGATTGATTATCCTTCGCTTTATTAGCCATCCAGAAATATCTTTCCAGTTATCGCAAATGTAACTCACAAGCGATACGCTTTTTTAACTAACAGGCGAAATGATTTTACGTACTACTTCACCATAAAAAATGGTTAAGCAAGAGCAAATGTAGGCATCTTATTATATTTTAAATGCAATCCAATTTCTCTGCCCACAACTCAAAGCTCTACATAACCTCAAATTTCATATTTAAACGCAAAACTCAAAGTATTATTGTCGGGTAATATATATGCTATGCATATATATAAACAATATCAGCGCCGTTAAGCGACCGCAAACGAAGTCTTGGCATTTATATTTGCCGCAATAAGAAACGCTCTGGGCATAAATATCTATAAACTCCACATAACCTCAAATTGTTCAATTAAAGTACTTATTAAGGGCGCTCCGGCGTGTGCCATGAAAATTGCATGCGCCTTGCATGTGGCAGCCATTTATATGCACACACACATACACACACACACACATACACACACATACGGGTTGACATATTTATAAGGCAATTATTACCGTTATGTTTGCAGCACTTGGAACCGAGCGCCGACACTTTTGTCGCCTGCCACAGCGGGCAGCCGGGCTTTGGCGCGAACCTTAAAAGCAAATCGGCGCAGGAGGCGAAATTTAAAATTCTGCTTGCAATTTCGCTCTGTTGCATATTCATGGTAAGCACACACAAACACACACACACACACACACACACACATGCCAGATTTAATTATGATAAATTTCAACTATGTATATATATGTATTTCGGTCGACTGGCAGATCATTGAATTCCTTGGCGGTTATATAGCCGGCAGTCTGGCCATTATGGCCGATGCCGCGCATTTGGCATCTGATTGCATTAGTTTTGTCATCGGGCTGGTGGCCATCTGGCTGGGCGGACGGCCGCCGGACTCACGCATGTCCTTTGGCTACAAACGCTTCGGTAAGTAGCCAATTATGGCCCGACACTATGCTAATGAGTGTGCAACCACTTATAAGGGCCCACTCTTTGGCACAGTAATTGCAATTAAATCCGACTTTTTGTAGATGTTAGTTAGCGCCTAGTCTATTATTTAACCATGTCCCTGTTATTTTCGCTTTCGCAGAGGTCCTCGGTGCCTTGGCCTCCATTCTGGGCATTTGGCTGCTGACAGCGATGCTCGTTATTGTTGCCATCGATCGCATCTACTCACAGAACTTTGAACTCGATGTCAATGTCATGATGTGCATATCGGCCATTGGCATTGCCATTAATATCATGTAAGTAGTTCAATTTATATCAACCTTACTAAAATAAATAAACCAAAAATCAATTTGCACAAAAATTCGAAATTCATTTCGCATAGATATACCAAAGCTTTCATTCATATTTCGATTATATAAGTGGATTTAAAAATGAATGACCCAGATCCTTATAAACTAGTCGAAAGTCGAAATGCCAAAAAAAAAATTGAATACCAACGCTTTTTACGCATTTTCCCAAAGTTTAAGTGGATTTCAAAGCTTTTCAATGATACGTGTAAATTAGTTAAGAACTGACTGCCTAAAAAGATATAAACCACATCTTTTCACGCACTTTCCAAACATGTATGAGAATTTCACAGATGGATAAAGCACGTCTAGCTTTTCAATAAAGCCTCGTCCACATACCAAAACTTTGCCTTACAAAACTTACAGAAATATACATTGATTTTCAATATGAACCAACAAAAAAGTGTCATGAATCACACTTTCGCTAATTATTCTCACTTCTAAGTGAAATTACAAATAATAGAATATATCAGGTTTAAATATTTGCAAAGGCACAAATTAATTAATTTAATGTTAAACAACAACAAAATTATTCTAAGGAAAACTGCTAAAAAATTGCAATTAAAATATTTTCACCTGTATTTCACATGGGTGGATTTCCCAAAATCAGTAAGCCATGTGATAAATAAAGCAAATTGTACTTATTTGAAGAAAAAAAGTGTTCTAAGTGAACTCATGAAAATCAGTCAGCTGTAAGAGCTTTAAATATTTGCACATGCAAAAGTTAATTACTTTAGTGTTAAAGTAGTCGTATATTATGGAGCTAGTGAGGCCCAACCAGCGTAGCTGATCTCTGTAATATTGCAATTTGTCACAGTTGAAATGATTTTCATGCACTTTTAATTAAATATAAATATCAAATGTTTTTCGGTCCCCCGCAGCATGATGTTCGTATTGCATGGCACCTGGTTTATGGGCCCCAATGGCCATGGGCATGGCCACAGCCACAGCCACAGTCATAGCCATAGCCATAGCCATAGCCATAGTCACAGTCATGGACACAGTCATGGATATGGACATGAACATGGGCTGGGCCACGCCCAGCCAATAACAATCAGCGCCAGCGACGAGCCTCATAATGTAGTTATAACAAACGGCTTAAAGCCAATCCAACAAAACGGGTAGGTGTGTGTGTGTAGAAACATATGTATATACCATAATTTATATACTCAAATATATCTGAATCTGTATAGTATATATGTGTATATTATATGTGCATATATTTAGCTTCATATATTGATTCAAATGGCCTGTTGCAATTTTGTGGCCTGCGGTTGAAGCGCTCATGAATTTGTTGTCAAACAAGAGCAAAAATTAATTTTAAAAAAAAATCACGTGGTGGGTAAAAGCGACTAATAGATGCCCCGTAACAGATGCTCTCAAAGGATTTTTTTATATTTATCGTACTATAGAAAGTAGAAGTAGATGAACGTAGATATGAAGCTGAGCTGGTAAAGCAGCTTTTCTATAATTTCTCTTTAAATTAATTTAATTTATTTTTATTCAATTTGAGGTAATTCTGAATTCAATGCAATCATGTAGAGGGTATAAAGTAAATAATAAGATAGATCAGTAAAATTAAAGCAAAGCAATAGAGTACAGTAGAAAGGAAGTTTGTAGAGGATAGAAATCAGTATGGAGTAAGAGTAAAGAGTTGAGCGAAAAACTAATAGCTGAGAAAAAAGAGGAAGAGAGAACTTTAGAATGGGAGAAATTGGTGTAGAGTACAGAAAACACAGTGCGATTAAAACCAATTCCGTTCTAATTAATATTTACACATATTTTAACTGCAGAATTTGTTCTATAAATTCTCTTTAACTGTCTCCCACTCTCTCTCTTTCTCCCTTCCCCTCTGCGCAGCAAGAATTTGTCCTATTAAACATCTGTCCCCAACGAAGGTTATCAAAAGATTTCCCTACTGCATTAATATAGCCAGCACAGATATTGTTTTATGTTCGACTGCCTTTCTAGCCCTTGCTACCAAGTACAGGGTATACCAACAAGAACAACAACTCCATCAACAACAACAGGAAGCGCACAGCAGCTGCTGACTGCAGGCAATTGTTTGTTTGATTACATTTAATTGGAATTTAATTTAGTTGCATGTGCAGAAAGAGAGAGAGAGAGAGAGAGAGAGAGAGAGAGAGGGAGCAAGCGAAAGCTGCATTAGTTATGCCTGATTTGCTGTTATTAATTTGTGCCCCTCAAAATACCTAAAGTTAATATTTGGTTTATATTTACCCCCCATACACTCTTACCCTCCCCTTCCTCCCACTCCACCATCGTGTCCAACCAGCACGGAACGCAATCTGAATCTGCGCGCAGCGATGATTCATGTGATTGGGGATCTGGTGCAGAGCATTGGCGTCTTTCTGGCGGCTATTCTAATCAAATTCTATGTGAGTCGGCTGAGCCTAGTCTAGCAAGAGGTCAAGACCCAAGTCAATTAATCGACTAATTCAATTTTGCAGCCCAGCGCCAAGTACGTGGATCCATTGTGCACGTTGCTCTTCTCGGTAATTGTGATTATGACCACGGTGCAGCTGTTCCGGGAATCTGTCTCCATACTCTTAGATGCGGTGCCGCGCAGCGTCTGTCTGGCGACGCTGCAGCGCGACCTGGCCAGCATTGAGGGTGTCAAGTGAGTGTGGGTCAATGAACCCGACAGACCCAACTATTTAACTACGCTTTTAATTTATGCCCCCAATACTCCATGCCATTTAAACAGATCGGTGCATCATCTAAATGTCTGGCAGCATACGAGCGAACACAATGTGCTGATGGCTCATCTAGTTGTGGGTAAGACACGCACATGAATATCATTATATATATGTATATATGTATTTATTTATATCTTATCGGACAGACCTGCTGAGCGACTCGAATATGGTGCTGGAGCTGGCAACGCAATTGGCCTGCGGCAGCAAGTACAACATCAAACATGCGACCATACAAATCGAACGTTTGACTGAGTAATTCAATTATGAAATTAGCAAATAGCTTAATTAAGTTCTATTATTACCTCTAGACATAAGCGACTACAAAAACAACACCAATATATGTACTGAGCGACCAAAGTCTGTGTGCTGCAGCATTATCAAATGGCACCATTTTATGTGATTATATTTGTATTTGTTATAAGAGCCACGCCCGCGTCTTACCCTAAAATATTTCAAATTGATTTTATGATATTTAGATAAAACGTAATTTTTATGATTTTAAGTTTAATTACTTTATGCCCTAGGCCCAAGAGTTGAGCTAGTATACAAATTGTTTCAAATATTAAGTATACGTAATAAAAATATAACCTTTAAAAGAGCCACAAGTTTTTAAACTTTAGCAAATCTTCAAGGTCTTTAATTAACAACAATTTTTCACGCATTTTCCGAATGTGTAAGTGGATTCGCAAAAACGCTGAAGATTAATATATTAAAAAGAGATTGATTAAAGATACCAACAGTGTGCTTTAAAAAATTTTAATTTTGATTAATAACTAAAAAGTTTTAATGAATAAATTACTTAACATTTTTTCAAATGTTTTCTAGCTGTATATCACGCGTGTACGTGGGTTCTTTGAAAATGTGCAAAGCAAGCGTTTAAAAAATATTAAGTATACGTAATAAGAAATATGCGACATTTTTTGTTTCGATTTTGAGAAATTGCCAGCGCCTACCCAATTTTAATTGCTTATCAAACAAGCAAGAAGCCCTGCAAAGCGCCAACCCATCAAAAATAATTAGAATTTCAATTAGCTGAAGACAATGTAAACATTTTAGTTGTAAAAATCTGCAGGAAAGTCTAAATACATATATATATGCATGCATGTATGTGTGTACAAATTAATTAGAATTCGCAGCATCAGCAAGAGATTTCGCCAAATAAGCTGCGCCATCTTTCGTTAGCAAAAACGCCGTGCACAGTGGTAATTGATGTCTTTATCTTACGCTTCCCATTTTAATTAGAGAGTCACTTTAGAAGAAGCCCAGCCCTCCGCCACCGCACTCAGTAAAAGATGCATTGGGTAAGAAATAAAAAGCCATTTGCAAAATAAAAGGTGAACTGAATTTACATCAAAGCTGATTTGTTATCAGCGCGCGGTGCGTATACTTAATATTTAAGCTGGCCAGCGTATTGTACGTATTATTAAGCACAGTGAGTGGCAAAAGTATATGCAAAGTTGTATATACATGAGTCATGAGAAATGTGTTGAAAAAAGAGCTCAAGAAACGGAATTTTTAATGAAAATAAGAGAGCAATAATATAATAAATAAAAATGCAATATAGTAGACGAAATTACCCGGCGTCTCGCTGGTTACATGAATATATGTATATGGCAGCAGTTGTCACAGATTTTGTAATTATATGTATGCATACTTTTGGCTAGCAGAGTACATTTATACATATACCTAATAATAATATTTTGATGTGCTTAGGGCCCGATTTGCTCAATGAATATTTATTTAGAAGCGTGTTACAAACGAGCGCCTGCAATTGACTTGCATTTATGCATGGGTGTACTATATGCTGATTATACATAATTATTTTTATACTGCTAATTGTTGTTTTAATAATTCATTTCCCAGCTGAAGCACACACACACACAGACAGACACATTCACACGCAGCAGTTGTCGCATATTTGGCATAATTCATATTTTGGACAAACACACAAATCCGATTAGAATATCGCATCTCAATACATTCGGACACTCTCATGCCGCAGCCGGGATTCAATGAACCGGAAATGAGCAAATCAAGCATGGCTGCCACGTACACACACACTCACACACACACACCCACACAGGCATGCATAGTGCCATATAATGTTAACACATGAATGAAGTCGAAGTCTAAGCATCTTAATCAGTCCACACACACACACACACATTCGGCTGCCTAGTTTGAATGATGCCTGTGCATTTGTCAGCCCTTAAGCCGCTTCAAATTGAACAAAACTGCCCGATCCTTGAGCCCTTTTTGCTCCTTTGGGGGCTGCAAAAACACAGTTCAATACGCTCGGACACGATTAAGTTATTTATAATTTATGAAGCTGAGCGTAAAATAAATAAAATACATATATACATATATATATTTATATATTGTTGTATATATAACAAGCTATATTTAGCACGCCGAATTTTAAGTACTCTTGTAGGATTATGGCTTTCGGGTTTTCGGCATGTTAGTGAACGTAACTTGAAAAAGCCGAAAAGATTTCCTTTCAAAGACGCATTCTTTGACGAAATATTTTTATAAAGCTCGATGATATAATTGTTTAATGTACATAAGGCTTGGTTCTTATAAGCTTTTAAATGCATAGTTTGCAGAAGATATTTAGTATTATGTATAAGTTGTTCATACAATAACTCAATTTATATAGTGGTCTCATGTTAATGAAATTCGGCATATAAAAATTAGCATAGTAAAATATATTAATGCCGAGTTGAATCAAGAACTTGGCTATTGATACAGATCTATATATACATATTTTATTTTAACGTTTTTTGAATCATGTCAAAATGTATAATACCCTCTGTAATGAAGTTAAAAAGTCAAATCGAAATGGAAATTTCCATTTCACTGCCAAGGAAATTGCGTTAAAATGATGAAGCTGAAGTGTGTGGCAGGCAGAAAATGCTCAGCTACACACACACACACACGCACACACATATATATATATATACATACACATATATATTGTTAAGGCTTATCCGCACACATGTTAAATTACCGCCAACTGACCGGACCAGGCACGACCATATAAAGTTTAATAAATCAAACCATTCGGAATTGCGCATTAAATATGCAAAAATATCGAACAGGGGCTCAACTAATTTAATTGCTGACCCAATTGCCTGCTGCAGAAGCGCACTTTTGTGTGGCGAGCACAAAAAAGTGGAAAAACTAATTAATAACCGTAAGAACAACAAATGTAAGTTATCAATGGCAGGGGCTGGGTGAGCTGGGCGAACACACTTTCAAGTGCGCCAAGTGCCGAGTACTTGCCCATTTTTTCAAGTGGGCGTGGCGCTGGGGGTGGGGGGAATCACACTTGAAATGCGCAAATGTAAAATTAATGGCATACTTGACTTGATGCTTTTCTAATTAGAAATGCATATAACAAAAATCGTAGCATACATTTCAGCTGCAGCTCAGCTCTAAAAAGCGCTTAAAACTGAGCACTCGTCTACTCAGCTGCCACTTAACACTTCGCCCAAGCAGATACACACACACACACAGAAACACATACAAATACAGCAGTGAAGAATCAGCTAAAGTAATTGAAGTGGCTTTGCACGTGCGCTGCAGCCACTCGCTGAGGAGTTCAGCTAAAGCGAAATCCATCGCGCACAGCAAACTCAACAGAAATTATCTGATTGGGGCTGCTAGAGATGGACGCCAGCTAGAAATGAGCGCGTGACACGAAATGTACACGAAGATTATACTAAGGGCACGACCATATATTATCAGCAAGTATTTCTGATATTTACTTTTTTATCCTAATGTTAAATATAACTTTATATATATTCGGATTGCAAACTTGCATACACATTGTAAACCATGGGAAAAAGTATAAGGTAACGAGAATAAGCACATATATAAATATCATTAAGTATTTTTGGTACTATTTTTTTGTTTAGCATTTTTGGTATTTTAAAACGTCAAAAATGTGCATTGTAAAACTACTATTTTTTTGTTTAGCATTTTTGGTATTTTAAAACGTCAAAAATGTGCATTGCAAAAATATCATAGACATAAGTGTATACAAATCGACATTTAAGCCAATTTGCTCAAATTAGTATTTATTTGTTTATTTTATCCTTATTACAAAACAGTTTTACCTAGTATTTAATATTAAACATGTTGGCAATGATATTCAAAAGCTTTAGCAAAAGGTTTAATAAATAAGATTTTGAGCTGAATCAAATGCATTCAATCAGCAGCTCCTGAAAATTGAAAAATTCTCTCAATACTAACTTTTATTTAATAGCTAAAAAGCTTACAATCCGAGCATTTGTCTTAAATAAGTTATGTACATGTAAAAAACCAGAACAATTGCAAACCTTGCGTGTAACATATTAGTTTATTTTTAACTGCATTCTTTAAGGATTAAGGAAAAGCCGAACTCAAAATTGAAATATGTAATTAAGCGCAAGTAAATTTATCAAATTCAACTCAAAAAACTAATTTAAATGATTTCAATTTAGATTGTCAAAAACAAAAGTTTAAGTGTCCAGTTTTTAAGAGTCAAAGAAATTATCAACACACCCCCAACCTACACACTTTGGCAGTACACTAGATGATATAATTAACCTGAGTTTATCTCTTTCTTTTGTCGTAATTTAACTTAGCAGCTAGTCTAGGAAATCAGTTCGGCAGCACAGCCAAAAATGCAACTAATAACCTAATTGTAACGTCGCAAAATGTCTGATCTATTTGGCGTGTTCAGCTGCGGAACGCCATAGATATAAGACTCGTCCCTAGAGGGAGAACGACCCGCATGTCTTGAATACGAACCATCTGTAAAATATATGCAAATAAATTAGCGAATTAGCGAATGCTTGAGATAGTTAACAGACAAATAAACTGACCACCAATTGAATCATTCCTTGATACATTTTGGGCCGAGCTGTTAGGGGAATATGAAACGCCCTTTCTTTTTTGCTGAAATGCTGCGAAAAGATAAAGATGAAGAAAATTAGAGCACTTCACAAGCAAGTATGTCACACCTTGAAACAATATTAAAGTTAAATTCTGGACTATGTTTCGAGCAGGGCGTAAACGGGCCGCGTTGTGGGCGAGATTCAAACCAGCCCAGGAGACTTTAGTTAAGGTAATTAGTAAAGCGGTCTTGGAGCATGAAAAATGAGCATGAAGGCCAACAAAAACGGCAAACAGCAAACAATTTTGGTAACACAAAACACACACAACAAATAATTTAGCTATTAAAATTAGTGTAAAAATTACGTGCGGACGGCCGCGAAAGAAACGTGGCACGAGATGCGGAAAATTTTGCCTGGCCTGGACACCGTGGGCAACTTGCTGAGCTCGCCAATTGCTCATTAGACGGGCAGGAGCTGGGGCAGCAGCGGACACAAATCTTAAGTAATTAGACTAATTTTGTAATTAAGGTAATTTGACTG